GGAAGAGGGTTATGAACCCAAAAAAATATCTTAAAAATATCTTTCTAACTTTTTTTAATATTTTAAAAATGTTTATTAAAATAATTACTCTAAAATTTGCTAAAAGTCTAATATTTATTTTAAAAAATTTTAAAAAATAATTTATGTTAGCTTTACGGGTATAAATTTTAAAAATTTGGCATTTACCGAGATGTCTTCCTTTTTCTTGAATATAATAATAATAATTATTATTATTATTATTATTTTACTAATAGAAAAATTAACGAATATCAATTTTATGACGTATGAAAAGTATGTTAATAAATTTGAACATTACATAATATATAAATATATAATGTATTTCAAAATATATTTTTGCATATAAAATGAATTAATACAAATATATAAACCATAAAATTTGTAGCTTCAAGGTCAAAATCGGAAATCTGTTTTTTTGTAAAGACGAAAATAAAACGTTGGATTTGTTTTATTCCCACATCCATGATTTTATGCTTTTATGCTTTTATGCTCTTATTCTTATTTTCAAAATTAAGAATAATATTATAAAATCAAATACGAATGAAATCAATTAGAATGGAAATATTATTCTTTTTATTATTTAGTAAGAATACCCAAAATCCAATATAATAATTATTTTAAAACAAAAATTCATATATATATTGTATATTTATTTCTAAATAAATAGAAAAACAATAAGATAATAAGAAATATTATTAACAATAAATTCTGCATGTTCTATCAAGTAATAGAAACGTTGGAAATGTATTGTCGAGCAAGGTCTAGGTCGAATCGTTTACCACGTCGAGATAACCAAGTGCTTGGTGGAAAGAGCTGAGTCTTCTAAAAAAAGCCTCTACGTTATAAATCCATCTTAATAAGAGATGATGGACCACATAGGTAACTCAGTAGCTAGCAAGCACGACATGTCCTTCTCTAGTTTCAAAGTGACTTTATAAGCTCCATAGAAGGGTTTGTCAATTAATAGATGTCATACTAACCACTCAACTCAGGATATCAATCATTGACTATCGTGGGCATGCAAGTTGACTAGTTATACAACCTCATTCTACATTTTCTTTTTCATGTATTCGTTTTTTGTTGATCAAGGAATGAGAGCGTTTAGAAGCTATGCGGCCACAGAGAACGTGAATTTTGGATCTTTGTGTGGTTTAAAATTGTATCCAATCCCTAGAGAACAAGAACAATACCTATGTATGCATGATTTTGATTTGATTTCAAATTATGCAAAATTTTACCCTTTTTTATTTTTATTTTATTTGATTTTCTTTGATTTAATAGTTTAATGAAAATTAGAAAAAAAAAAACAGAATAAGAATATAAAAAGAAAAGTATGAAAAAAGTAAGTAAAATCCAAAAACAACGAGAGAATAAAGGAGTACAATTATTCCCTGAGGGTTAAATAATATAATATAATTCGAACGATTTTGGTTTGATTGTACAACCGATTCTAACCTAAGACAAGACATATCTTTGTTTACGACTTTGTACATGTGCATCTTGCCTTTACTTAAAAAATGATGTGGCACACGATCTGTGTATTTCGAAAAATTCTCAATAAGTGACCCCATTATAGGAGGTTATGCAAATGCAAATACATATAATCATGCTCTTGGGACCTATCTCTATTCTCTAGGGTGGTCTCTAGTCTTGGATAAATTGGATATGTAGTACTTCCCTACACACAACCCACACGTGCGAGTGTGAATCCCCAAGGGACTTACTAATCTGTAGCGATGTTCCGAGGTCAGTGGAACTCCTTGGTGTCATGCTCCCTATGAACACCCTCATCATCATACTGTGCCCGTACGTACTCATTGTCTCTGGGGAAGTATCCTTATGCTTATGAGCACACAACATGCATGAGGTTCTTCTAATTTCCATTTATTATCTCTTCTAATACAACCCTCTAGAATATTTATATTGATATCATTTTCATGCTCTTAGAGTTGTGTCCTATGACACTCATCATCATATAGCATGCTTAATATGGAAAACTTCAACATATTAAGTGCAATCAGTCATAATCATCATATTGCCATAAGGTGCATCAAGCATATCAAGTACGTCAATTATCGAAATATATATTTACGCACATCATCATGTATCATAACTCATATATCATCATATGCTAATACACGACATCCTATGATCCAACTCATACATCATCATAAATTGTAACCCGTACAATTTCTAATCTATCATATAATAAAGCCATTTACTTGGTTAGCCTTAGCTAAAGTTCTATCTAGCTCCAAATTTGGTTGTTGTCATCCTTCGAATAAAACTTAAATTTAAAAATAAGTCAATATTATTTCATGGTTATTAGATCATATTTCCATATTTTTATTTCCTAAAGTAAAATCTATTAAGATTATTTGGATTGAAAAAATTTACAACCCTGTTTTACTATTCCTATGATATTTATTTTTATTTGAAATAAATTCACGAATGTTTAAGTTCATGACATCGTTTATATATGACTATTTTTAAATGAATGTCCGCACATATTAGGCATGCCATTTTCGAACATTTAATTCACAGTGTAAAAGTTTGAATTCATTGTCTAATAAACTAGTGAACCTTTGAACGTTTGTGTTTTTTTTATAACAGCTTCGAAAGATAATTTTATATCATTGTAATAAATTTTCATGTTATCGAATTTCTTTCAATGGGTGTTCTCCGCTTTAAATTTTCTATGTCAATTCTTGTGTTTCTTCGATTATTAAATTATATATATCTTATAGAAATTTATTTATTTGCTTTATATGAAAATTAAGCATCATTCTAAACCTACTTTTTCGAGATCAACATTCTTACCTTCAATGCAAATATACGTGAAAGTTAGCCCTTGCATGTGCCTTGGAAAAATATGACAAATCAACATTTTGGTGGGGAGGGCGTCCCTCGAATTTATGGCTCTAAATAAATTTTTAAATCTTTATGAAATAACTTTTTTGGATCGAGATCGACTTGACTCTATTAATATTTTGCGTTGTGTTTGCTAACTATTTGGTATTAGTTTGATACTCAAAGAAGCTGGAGTCTAAACTTGAGTATTATATTTATGATTTCAATTGAACTTTGAGGACCAATTTGTAATTGCAGGACGTATGGCCAAATGTTTACAAGAATTTGGGAAGAGAAGAATTGTGGACAGAAAACAAAGAGAGTGACCCAATAAAATTTAGTCTCTGCCACTCTCTTTATGTTTGTCCAAAAACTTTTTTCAGGTTCTTTATATCCTCCAAAACCTTTAATCATGTGCTCTATCATTCATAAAGTTATGAACACATGAACAACAATTATTTCTCCCCTTTTTTGATTCATAATTATAGTCAAAATCATCATTAAAGTCGTTTTAGTATCAATTAAAAAAAATGAATAATACCATGGAAATCAATTAGAATAATATAGAAAAGACAACTCGTTCGGTTCGTTATACTCGGTGTCACTCTGGTGCAGTGGTCGACGACAACATTAAAGAGAAGGATCAAAGGCTTTCCTTTTCTTTTTCCCTTTAGTTGTTAGGGATAGAATTAGCTTTTTTGTGTACAATAATAAAAAATGCATTCCAAAGTTGAGGAGTCAACCAAAATGATGCAAAAATGGTGGGGTTTAGGGTTTTGCAAAGCAAACTAGGTAAACTACTTTTTTTTTTTTTCCATTTATCTTTTGTTGTTCTATTTATGTTTACCAATTTCTGACTTTATGGGTCTTTTATGGGCCCTTTAGGTTGATGGCTATCAAAGTGAACAATATCTGCTATCGATGAGTTTGAGTTGTTAGAGGATACTATCCTCATAAACCAACACAAATCCTTTTAGCATGTTTTTTCCTCACTCATGTGATTCTTAAGATTACTCTCATTTGAATGTGGTTTCGGTTCATTTATTTTGTATGGATAAACTCTATATAAGAGAGCATGGAGTGGGCTACTCCTACTGTTTCATGGCTATATATATAGCTCATTCACACCACTTTTGATACCCATTCTAACTTGGTTTGATTTCACCTCTCTCACAGCCATGTTCAACTGGGTTCACTCCAACTTCCACTACACCCCTCTTAAAGGTTTGATTTTCTTTTTTTCATACTAATTTTCATAGTATTAGAACCCAAACTAAACTTGAATCACTGTCAAATCATTTTGTCATTTTTAAAATTGTGTTAAGAGTTCCTTAACGTATGCAATGAATCAAACCAAATAATATAAATCTTAACCTGACTAGGAGGGTTCATAGGTTGAGTTAGGTTGGTAAAGACATTTTTTTAGACCCAACCTAATGAATTGAATGGTAAAATTTTCAACCAAAACTAACCTTATTAAATAACCAACCCAATTCAACTTAACCAAAAAAAAAATTGAGTTGGGTTGGTTCGTGGGGTTGAAAATTAAAAATAAATTTAGTTTTAGTATAGATATAAGTTTCTAACTCAATTCAATTCAAATAGTATTGGTTGCTTTGGGTTGATCGAATTTTACCCCTAAACCCGACTCAATCTAACTCGAGTAATACATTCCTATTACAACAATGAATTTTTCTCTAAATTGTTAGCTTGGAGAAAGAAAAGTGAATCTTTGAAAAAGGAGGCCAAAAGGCAAGGATTAGCAAAGCAAATGGATGAGATGGTTGATATTCTTGATGATTGGAGGATCAATGGCCGTCGTCTTACCATTTTCTTCATGGGGTTTGACAAATCATCAAAATCCAGAAATTATAAACCCCAATATTTCAATTTGAAGGAGATAAAGAGAGACAAAATTGTTGACGACGACGACGACGACAATGACGGCTTGAGCCTGTTAATGGCGACGACGTTCCCCAACAACTTCGACGACAATGGTGAGTTTTGTACCGAATTCGACAAGTCCCGAGTTGTTGTGGCCATCGAGCGATATATCGCTCAAAGACTCCGCCGGAGAGTGACGTTGGCGGATCTGCTCATGGCGGATGCCGATGGGAAGCCGAAGCTAGATTTGAAGGAGAATTTGCCTGAAATTGTGACGGCCAACAGCTCCCGCTTCGCCAAAAAGCCGGAGATGGAGGCAGATTTACCTTTGACAAATCTCCAAAAAGTAAGTCATTTACAATAAATAATATTTATTATTATAGTTGATTGTCT